AAGCTTAACAGTAGTCGTAGTGTACTAGTACCAGCAGTAGTAGCAGTAGTAGTAGTAGTAGTAGTAGTAGTAGTAGTAGTAGTAGTAGTAGTAGTAGTAGTAGTAGTAGTAGTAGTAGTAGCAGTACCAGTAGCAGTAGCAGTAGCAGTAGCAGTAGCAGTAGCAGCAGCAGCCGCAGCAGCAGCAGCAGCAGCAGCCGCGGCAGCAGCCGCGGCAGCAGCAGCAGCAGAAGCAGAAGCAGAAGCAGCAGCCGCGGCAGCAGCAGCAGCAGCAGCAGAAGCAGAAGCAGAAGCAGCAATAGCAGCAGTTGAAGTAGCTGCTAAGGGCACAGGGCAAAACGCGACAAGGCTTTTGAAACCGACGGCTTTCGACTGAACAAAGCACGCGGCACCTTCGAAGAGCGAAGCGTGCATGAACCCAGAGATGTCTTCAGCGTGACCTTGCCGGACGAGGCAGACATCGAAGACAGTTTTTACAAGACTCACGGGGAAATCTACCGCACGTAGAACATTTAGATCGAATCCTCCTGACTGGTGGACCCTAAACCTTACACCTTTCTCGCACAGATTCTCCATGCCCCCGGGCTGCCTCCTCGTCCGCATCTCCGAAGTAGCCGGGCAAGGCGCCATCCGAGAAGTCCACGTCGACGATGGGGCCATCTCTCCATTCGGCTTCCAGCTCGTACTCCCGGCCAGGTATTGCCAGTGCACCTAACGTATAGCCATTTTTTGAAGGTTTTGGGGTGTACGGCTGAGGGTTTGCTCCCGCCTAAGCTATGCAGAGTGTATACTCGGGAATCTCGGGGGGAGTAGACCAACTGCACGGCACATTCGTGCTCTTTACTACATACCAATCCCACTTCTTGCTGCTCACAATTCCGCGAACTTGCAAACAACTCTTTTGTCATAACCCACCCGCCGCCAACCCAAAACTGCTCGACCAACAGACCAAACCCTAAACATGATGGGCGCCGTAGCCGTTGTAGTTCATCGCATAGGAAAGGAGTCCGGCATTCCCACCGAAGCTGGGGAATTGGTAGTTCGGAGCCACCCCGGTGAAGCCTGGTCCAGAAAGCCTCACAGCTTCGTTGCTATGGAAACCATTATAAACCCAGTTTACATCCTCGTGGATTTCGAGAAACCCATATACCTTTGCCAGTTTGCAGATATAGAAACACGCTAAGCCCAAAGCCCTACATTCTAAACCCTGAACCCCACTACTCTGCTGCCGGGTGTCTGAACGTCGCCAGCCACGGCTGCCGGTGTCCAAAGGCTGAGGCGCCGCACGGGGAAATTGCAGCCAAAACCAGAATCCCAGTCCAACCCCAGCTTCTCCTGGGTTTCGGAGGGTGTGAAGGGGCTTTAGGAGGTGTTGAGTTCTCAAGGTGGAAGTGAGGGAGTTTGGTGCTCGGTGTCCTTGTGCTCGGGAGTGCACTCTCTTTAGTGTATTGGGGCTCTTGGTCCTTGCACACTTGCAGGTCGATGATATCCATACTAACCTGCAGGCAGCCCGATGCCTAAGCACCCAAAATTGGCCCCAGACCTACAACCCTGAAGCTACAACTTCCTTAAACCCTAAACCCTAAGCCTTAAACTCTAAAACCTAATGTTGAAGCTCGAACATGTGTTTCTGTCTGTCTGAGGCACGCATCCCTGATCGAGGAAGCCATCGAGATGACTGCCTGGGATCCCTTTAGACTTTGGGGGCTCTTTCTTAGTTTAATGTAAGGCCCATTGTTGATCAGAACAATGGTTTTTGAGCTATATCATCGTGTTAACATATCTACTGGGAGACACTGAGGGGATACTATAACTAGTAACAAATACTATTTAGCCCGACCCCTTCATTCTGAACAAGGTGTGTGGCTCATTGGCAGCTTGATGTGAGGTCTTATGATTTGGGGACAAGCACTTTGGCCTTCAAGGTAAACGCTTCTTGTCTCAGTTGTGTGCTATGGGGGTATCGGGCTTAACTCCGAAACCCCAGAAGCGATGTAATTAGAGAGCCTAGTGGCGGCGACACAGTTGCCCTCTATCGCAGGCTAAAGAACCCCACACTCTCCCACCCACCCTAGACCCTAAACTTCTAAACTCTAGACCCCCCAGCAAAATGTGATACTGATCGACCCACTGGCTCACAACTGATCGGAAGCCCCCGAGCGAGCCATCGCGTGCGAGGAAGACCGGCAGCACCTTGCCCTCGGGCTTGCTGTTGACCTCGTGTCTCCGACAAGACACCATGCTACTGAGGAGAATCCGCAAGAACCAGTGCGGCAGATTGCTTCAGAAATTGTGAAGGTAGTGAGTGATGATGTTTTGTTGCTCATGATGGTGATGAGGACGATGGCAATGGATGCATCATCCCACTTGGACTCGACTGTAACAAGGATTGGGATGACCATTCTGAAGTTTATGAGGATGCTGATGGTGGCAACATCGTCTTAGTCTTTGCTGCGGCTGGCGCTGTTGTTGTGGATGCTGGACTGTGACGACGGTTGTGGTGACTCTGCAAGCTAGGGTCACAGTTGGATATAAGCAGGGCGGCGACCCAGCCTAGCACTAGAGAAAGGACGACTAGAAAGGCCCCAGGCTAAAAGCGAAACATCAGCGACATGCATATGCCGAGCTGAGCTCTAATGTGCACCAAGCGAGCAGCCCCGAATTGGATGAGCTTCGTGGCCTTGGACACGGCAGAAAAGTCCACGTCCTCATTCCGCTAGTCGGGTTGAGGCCTGGGAGGCTGAATGCTTCTGTCCTCCTGACTGCTTTTTGGCCAAGCACTTCCGGTCTTTTGAGGCTGAGCCGACAGAGCCAGCGAGCCGTCTGAGCCATTGTTCAAGAAACGCCAAAAGCCGTTTGGCATGACTGAACCAAAGTCACCATTATTCATCACCATCCTCTGGTGTAGCTTAAACAACCAAACCCGCAAACTTGCAACTTACACCATGAACCAAACCCTAAACCCAACACCTGTAAGCCCCAACGATTTGCTGCCCAAACACCAAATCGTGCATCCTAAACCCTCAGTCTTATGTCGAAAAAGCCCTGAACTTCTTAAGCCCTCAATCCTAAATCTCAAGTCCTGGAACTAAAAACCTAAGCCATAAACTCGTAGATATAAACTTACGAACAGAGAGGATCTGCAGATTCCAAAAGGGTCAAACTATCATAAACTTTACACCCAAATGGTCCTCAAGCAGGTACTGCACGTTGCAAGGTCCTCCGGCCCCACCATCCATGCCTAGGCGGTGTGCTATCTCGAACAAGAGAGCTATAGATTTTGTTTCGTGTAGTTTTGTAGCTTCGTGCAGTCCTCATGGGCCGACATTGGACACCAAAATATTTCAAGCCAAACCGAAAAAAGTTCTAAACGATGCGGGTACAGTGTTGCCCAGCGGATAGGGCGCCACTGGCCTCAGCCCACACGCAAATACTAACTGCATCCAAAAATAGGTGCGTTTTGAGAAGCATACACGAACCCACCTTACAAACAGAAAAGCAACTACACTTACAGAAAACATGGCAATGACAAAGGACAGATGATGACAGGTGGCATGCCGTCCAAGACACCCCCATACCATAATAATTATTCTGCATACATCTGTAATACTGCAATGTATCTTGGATAGTGCTGTAGAGCACACCCTTACTACTGCACATGCTCAACATGAATGCGACACGAGCTGCCTTTGGCGTACAGATACTGATGAGCCAGAAAGCAAACGGTTACTGAAGGAACTGCCTCAAGTCACACCAGGGTTGCCCACAAAGCTGACATTCTTGAGGCCAAATGTGAAAGCCCCAGCAGGTCCGAGGAATTGCCCGGCAGGCCAGGAGAATAGGCCGCCACCTGGACTCAGGGGCTGGTGGGGCTGCTTCAGTCATGGTCCCACCGTCTGGTGTCCGGATATGTGGCTATAGATACACACGCATCACAGAGGTAGGGCGAACCTGATCTGGAATACGGCAGACAATTCGAATGCAAACATGCTTTTCGAAAGTCAACGGAAGTGGATGCAGGCAGGTCACATGATCATGTTCATGAGAGTTTACTCGGAATGCAAAACATACCGTTGATGGGTTGATGTGGATAAGTAGGCGCTGGATCACCAGTACGTTGCAGCAGCACCGCCATTCGCCTTGAAGCTCTATGTTTGTTTTTCACAAGCAGAAACTCCTAGTTTGCTATTCTGTTACAAACGACAGTTTTACGTACAAGGTACTACCGTTTTTGACGTGAGCTGCGTGTAGGGAACAACTGTCTACCTGCGTCATCAGTATTTTTCTTTTCATTCGAAGCCTCCGGCAGGCTTCAGGGTAAGGCTAAGGCACCTGAAACCTTATCATTCAGGGACGCTGTCGCGCAACCCAGTTCGATGCCAAACCTCGTAGCCGAAACATGGTTATCTCAAGCACTTGGCCCTACATTTCACGGCCATGTTGCTCACATCAGACTTTGGCACACTGTGTAGCCAACCAAATGTTTTGCTAAACGTCGGTCGCATGTTTCTCTGCTTTGAGATCCGGAAACTGAGCATGGTGTAGGTTTAGAGTGGACTTGCAGCCAAGACGCTGGGCACGTTAATGCACATGGAGTCCGTCACATGGTAGAGCCCTTGATCCGCAAACTTCTTCGAGGATTTCCAGTACATGCAGTGCATGTTGTTTATTCCCACATAGCGTACATAACGGACATCTGTCAACACGTACTGACCCACGAACTCGTTGTGCCAGTCCAACTCGTCTTCGACGACATTGGCTGGAACCACGCCGCTGTCGGCTCCTTCGGGAGTCACCTGCGGCTTTCCAACACGCGGGTCCGGCAGAGAGGTTTGCAGGTCCAAGATGCTAACATGCATAACGTGCCACTGCAAGGCTCGGCATCTTGGAATGTAGCGAATGGGTAGTTGCACAAGCCGAGACCCCCCCCCAGCCTCATTAAAACAGTTCGAGGTTGGATCGTTAATGTCTGCCACGAACCCATTCTCATCCCTGGGAAGAATACGGGGCTGCTGGTTGTCGAGGTACATGCCTTGGCCGACGCAGGGTAGACGGACAGGGGACAGAACTGATGACGCGGGTTCGGCTTTTCAAACATGCATGTGCCGCGTTAGTTCAAAAACCTTAATTACCAGGCTTTTAAGGTTGTTATGACAAGCAGGTGTCTCAACTCCGGCCGACCGAGGCAGTGTCCTGCACTACTTCATATACAGGACCCGCCAGACTTCGACAGTGCGGCCCAGACGCCGAAGCGCCGATTGTCGTGACACACGTTGCCGCTTATGCGCCCCAAGGGCAGGTGCACGGGGCACACCTTGCCTGTGAACCCAACTGTTCAAGGCTTCCAGAACCCCTCTAAACTAGGCTGTACTCTAAAAGAACGCACCATGGTGACTTTGGACCTCCAATGTGCCCCGGTTTAGCAAACCAACTGGTGTCCTGCTGTCCTTGCCCCTGAGCCGGAACAGCAATCTCCAACAAACCCGACGCCCTCTAAAGCTCTTAACTACAAGCTGTGCCAAACTGGATTTCTAATCCAAAGCTTCAATCTTTACAGTCTCACAGGAAGCTTCGGGACACAGAATGGTTCGGTGCTCGGACTTTTGTGTCCACCTACTTTGTGTTGTCTTTGTCTTGGCATGGTGTGTCGTCTCTTGCGGTTGCCACGTCCTTCGAACGTTCGTGTGGCTTATATCCATCGCAATCACTCGTTCGGTTCGGTCAACCGTTTACGGGCGGGTTTGCTCAAGGGGCTGTGGATGTACGCCTGTACCTGTATATTTATAATTATATATATATATTTATATATATCTATATCTGTGTATATATATATATACATGTGCATACATCGCTCTCTGTCTCTATATATATATATAAACATGGTATATGTATATGTCTTATTTGTACACTAATTGTATACCTCGTTTCAACTTAGCCCACAACCACGGGTCCAACTGCTATAGCCCCCTATGTACTAGATTACTAGACACATGTAATCAACATAAGTAAAAGGTATGATTATAGTTGTTGCTCGCCTCTCGAAAAGCCGCCAGCTCGAGCCCAAACATGCAAACCCGCAGCACAAACCAGTTAAGCGACGGAAGAATGCGAGCAGCAAAGACGCAAATAGCTTAAACGCCAAGCAAGTCGATCTTGCTGGGCAGAAGAAGGCTTGAGCTGGTTGGCACTGCTGTACGCTTGCTTTGGACAGAGACAAGCCAGTGCACTCCATATGAACAGTACATAGTTCTCAGTTTTCAGTCGGTCTCCAGGCAGAAACTCCAGACTTCAAAGCCTCCAACCCCTAAACTGCACGGCCCTACCGTAAGCCCGGAAATCCTTCGATGCCTGTAACTGGGTACCTACTCAGCCATCCAAACCTAGCTCCGAAAGCTTCGGCCCTGAACCCAAACACACACCTGGTGCCCTGGTGCCTTGCCTGCTGCATGGCCCCGGCCAGCTGGATCTGCCGTGCCTCGAAATTGCCAGTATCAAAGCTTCGCAGAAACCGCAACATGTCTACTGTGTGTAAGTATGAACTCATATATAGATACATGCAAACACTATAGACATTAATATCAGGAGCTGCATCACAACAAATCAGTGAATGTATACATGTACGTCTCAGTGCGGGTGCGGGTGTGGGTGCCTGTTTTGTCAATGAACTCATTTCAAGTGCACTGCCACCTGCATGCCAACAGTTCAGGGGTACTGTACTCACTCGACGCCCAGTGAACATAGCGTCTCAGCCCATGCAGCCAAACCGTCCACTTTCCAACTCAAACCAAATTCTGCAAATTGGAGCTTCCTGGCTCATTGCTGCTGCCGATAGCATGTATGCAAGGGTTTAGGAGCGTAGGGCTAGGAGTTTAAGGCCGTTTGAGGCTGAAAAACCCTTAACCCGGAAATCCAGTTCTTGCGAGGAAGCTTCCAAAGCCCGACAGAGCAAAACCTAAACTTCGACACATCTACATAAATTTTGTAGCTTACAAACAACCAAAAGCCCCTGAACCTGAAAAACAAGACAACTTATCCCTAACACCGCATTGTCGACCCTTTTAGAGAGACCAAGGTGGCACAGGCCTTTGAACCAAAAGCAGTTCTCCATGTTAACAACGCGGTTCCTGCAGCGACATGTGACAATGAGCGGTTTGTACTGAGGATTTGGGGTGTGTGTCAGGTCCTTCACACCATGACCCGAGTATCGGGTAGTCTCGACGAGTTGGCCTGGACCCCGTGATGACACGACCTTATCAGGCTTTACAGGGCTATGTACGGGTACACCTCTTTTTCTCTGTCTCCCTCTCTCTATATACATACCAGCATCTATCTACCCATCTATCTCTCTCTCTATATATGTATATATATATATACACACACATATATATATATATATAACCCGGGATAATACCTTGGATATATCTGACATATATGTATATTTACATATATATATATACACACACACACACATAAACCACAATCTGCCGTCCAATCCCCGGCGAGACCTACACCCTGATACCTTAAAGCCCCTGATGGCCGAACCTTGTCACCCTAAACCTGAACAGCCTAAAGCCCCCCAAATTACTCAAAGCACAGGACAGCTGCCTTATGAAGTCGTTGGTCATGCCAATAACAAAGAAACCGCCGAGCCGGCCGCCCTGCGCGTCTTTTCGGCTCAAGGATGATTTGGTGGCTTCTCGAACTTCGGTTTTAGGGCTGTGAGTGACATACATGTACATATACATATACCGTATACATATACATATATATATATATATACATATGCATGTACATATACATGTACACATATACATATACACATACTCTTTTTGCTAAGAAGATAATAAGTGGTACGAGTATACCTCTTTGCCAAGGGATAATGAACATGTTATTCATGGGGTCTTCTATGTTGGCAGAAATGCAGGATGTCTGCAGCTTGGGATTGGTGGCGATGGGGTCTGGGGGTTCACGGTTTCAGAATAGGGGTGATGCTGGTCGTGGTTGGTGGAGTTGTGGGTGGTGGGTGGTTGGTGGTGGTGGGTGGTGGTGGTGGCGGTGGCCGTCGTCAACGTCACTTTTGAATTGCTTTCCCAACGTTCCTGAGAGCTTGATTCGGGCAGGACGCATCGATTACTGCTGCTAATGCGTCGGGCCTGGTTGAACATATCGTAGGTGCAGCCTCGTCGAGCTTCGGGGCAAATGCCCGTGTCACCCTTGTTGCAGGGCAGGGGGTTGATCGGCGGCACCTGGCAATAGCATCGTATCTACCAATACCGGTGCCGCGACACCACTGCCACTAACTACCGCGAACACAACGACGCCAATGATGACGACGACGGCGAAAACGTGAGACAGCTTCAAGGACGACCATCATCCGCACCTCTTGTACAAATGGCGCCAATTGCCGAAGACACGGATAACGTCATAAGACGCGCTACCTCCAAACAGGTCCGACCCATTCGGGTCCTGACCAGACTTCAGCAAGGATTGAATCCAAACTCGTCCGACCCATTCGGGTCCTGAGGGGTACATTCAGTACGGGTTCAAGGTGAGTAGGTTGCAAGCATGAGGATCTAATAGTCGCCAGTTCGGAAGCAAGAGGAGGCAAATTAGCCCCGATGACAAGCTTAAGGGTACGAGCACCTGGTGCATGCATATCAGGACATTCTCCTCGAAGGTATTGTTCATTTCGTTGCCATCCTCGAGGGAGGCATTGGGGGGTGCGATATAGGCTTCAGGGGTAAATCCATCCGACAGAGGCTGAGAAGTGAGGCGTAGAGTTTGGGATGTGGGGTGTAAGTTCTTTTGAATTTACGAGTTACGAAGCTATGTTGAGCTACACCCTATGTCCTCCACATATACGCCGGCAGACATGGTGTTCCAGAGGATGTTGCCAGACACCCTGGCTTGGTGCGTGCCATGGACCGTGATGCCGACCTATCAGGGCAAAGGGAGACATCTTCGGGTTCCAGAACTCTTGGGATTAGGGATGGTTAGGGTTTCGGGTTTAGAACTTTAGAACTATGGGGGTTTGTTCGGAGTTGGGTTTAGGATGCGAGGAGGCCAAGATAAACTCGCATCTGGCTGATGTGAGCTTTTGCGTACATTCGTCGCCGTAGTTGCATTGTCGTGAACCCTTTCTGGGTCTTGTCCTCATGAACTGCTATCAGCTGCTGTCTGAGTCTGAGTCTGCCATCGACCTCTAAAACAAATCTTGGTAGTGCTCTGAGACCGATAGCTACACAGAAGCTCATTGAAGGCATGAGCTCTTTCATTTCAGGTCAACACCTACTCTACACTCGACAACAGACTGGCTGGTCGTCAGAACAAGCACACCGCCCTCAAATTGCCGACAAGCTGAAAGGCAAAGCCCTTCTTGCCTGTGTGGAGTTGACCACGGCATTGCCGTGGAGAACACAGCGGGGACAGCGGTGCATCAAGTGGAAGTGTAGGCAATATCTCCTTAAGATTGGATTTTACTAAGGTGTGTAGGCCCGGCTTTGGGTTGTGGCTCGTCGTGCTTTGAGCAAGCAGCGCTCTAGTGACAAACCTACTGCTAAACGGAGTGTGAGGTTCTTGGGATTCTCGCACCTCGGACCCACAGTGACGACGCCGACCCCTTAATTCAAGCCTGAAGGCTTGGACATTAGCTTTCGGTTCAGGGCTTACTTCTTCAACCGTGAACACTCTGCAGGAAGAGGCTCACGCCAGTCCTCTAGGCTTGACAGCGGGCCGACGTGGTTTGAGGCGTCGTAGAAGTTTTTGTTTGTTGCAGATGCGACTGAAAGGGCAATCGTTTTCTTGGCCACTGGTGCCGGGGCGATAGGCTTCGCGTTTGGGTACTGCTTTGGCCAAGCTGCCCTTGATGCGGTGGCTGCCCACAATTCTCCACGCGGACGTAGCGAGCGTCCATGAAACCATGGCCAGTCATCAGGGTATGAAGCCCCTTCCAATCCTTGGCATTGGCATGTGAGGTGTGATTGGCTTAAACTTAAACTCATGGCTTTGAGGTGTAGACGTTTAGGTGTTGTGCCATGACTTGTGTTTGCTCCATATCGGCCTTTGGCTATACAGTTAGTAGGGCTTGCTTTCAAGTACTCCGCCTCAAGATAATCTCCCAAAGCGTTATATACAAGCCTCAACAATGAGCAGCGCCATGACGGCTCCGGCATGTGGATGGTGCAAGTTTTGCTGATTAAACATTTCTGCTGACACTATAAGCCTTAGCCAGGAAAAGTGGCGGATGAATAACATTTGGGCATGACGTCTGCTGGCACCCCACAAGCTTCAAGCGACTAGCTTCAAGCATTGAGGCAGAACAGGTTCAAGTAACCAAGGGCCTGCCAGCTGGCAACCTGGAACACACACACACACACACACCTACCTTTGGCAGGCAGCAGTGTGTCATGGTTTCGGCATTAAAAGTCGGGGCTCAGGGAGAATATGTGGCATCAGGGTACTGGTCGTTACCAAGCATGGTTTCATCCTTCAGTTCTTGTCAAGATCATGGTCCCATGCCAGCTCTTATGTGAACCCTGACCCCTAGATCATACCCGCATAAGCTGCACATGCACAGGAAAGCTCTCCCACCCCAATCTATCGCAAAGACAATGCTTATAGTTATACATCCCAAGACCGACTGCCACATCCCAGCTTGATAAACCCAACCCAAGGCAACACTCACACCTGAATCCACCAAGGCAGTCAAACCTCAACGGCCCTGATGGAGTTTCTCATCGCAAATGACCAAAACTGAGCAACAGGGTCTGGCAGGCTACTGTGGGCATCTGGTCAGGCCATCCGCTCCTGAAACTTCTCACCAGGTTTAAGCGAAGCTCTGATCCCGAAGCTTGAAGCTCCGAAGTCGTAGCTCCAGCCCGAGCCCCAAGCCCGAAACCCGACTCAGCTTCCGAGTCTCGGCCGTGTCCCAGTTGGGCGGCCCGGTGATGACCACAGATCTCTGCAAGTTGACGACTTCAGCTGCGAGCTCGAAGCTTTTGTTGAAGTCCTTGTTGGATACAATCCGTCGGCGCCGAAAAGTCCCGCGATTGATCTGACACAGCTCTAGCAGCGTGCTGTAACCGGTCCCTGCTGGGGATGGATCATCTGAGGCAGTTGGCTGATTGGTGATGCTCTTCCTGCTGGAAAAGCAACGCGCAGATGAGGGCTGGTTTTCTCCCTCAACCCCTGCCCCCCAACTAGCCGCCCTTCATCGAAGCTTTCTAGTGCCTGGAGCGCTTTCGGGGAGCCAAATTCAAACGGCTAGCGCAGGATGCCAAGACAGGAATGCAGCTCCAATCGGGGACGACCACTGTTGCAGCGAGCGATCGATCCTTCAACGTTACATCCCAGGAGCCGTGTAGCTGTATACTATAGCTCGAAAGCTAGCAGCATCAATGTTCAGCGATTGAACGGAGCTAGCGACAAAGCCCAAACAACACAGAAGGACCCTCAGGCCGTCGTGGCGTCGATTCAGCTGCAAGGCCTAACCTTATGCAGTAGATAGTATTCGAGCTCGTCACTTGGCGACCAGGCATCTGTGGAAGATCGACCGGAAGCGTGGTGAATCGGTCGCCAACCTCCCCAGTAGTCTGCCGCCGCAGGCGGATCAATCTTCACCTAAGTGGTGTTTGGATCAGTCTCGTCGCAGAGGACTACTGCTACTCCTGCTACTACCATGATGCCAGGCCAAGTCGCTGTTTTGCTGCCTGCCGGCCCGAGATCCACGATCTTGTACGGCTGCCTTGTAGTAGTCGTAGAAGTCGTCGTAGTAGTGATATAGCAGCAGCTGCTCAGCGGTAGTAGCAGTAGCGGTAGCAGTAGTAGTAGTAGTAGTAGCAGTAGCAGTACCAGTACCAGTAGAAGTCGAAGTAGAAGTAGCAGCAGCAGCAGCAGCAGCAGCAGCAGCAGCAGCAGTAGTA